GCTTAATCCCCTTTTTTCCACAGCGGTGATATTTGATGTTTCCTTTCAAGTTCCTTTGATTGATCAACTTATCGTCATTCTTCTAGAATTTCCTGGATATCGGTTTCAAATTTTTGTATTCTATCGAAACCTTTCTGTTGTATTATTATGTTGCCCTTCTAAGATTTTTGCGAGTCTGGTTTATTCGTCTGGGATTTCAATCCATTCTCAGCAACAATTGAAATTTTCCTCCGTCCACACTAGTATGTATTTATTTCCTTTTGAGCTAGTCTCGAAAGGTCCGACGTGGTCTATGTGTATAGTATGGAAAGGTACTGCAATTTTATCAATCGGGTGTAGTTTAGCTCTGTTTTTATGTGTAGTATCTTTATAATAAGAGCAATTCAAACAGGCACCAACGTATTTAGTTACAAATGGTCCCATCTTTGGGAACCAATAATTCATTTTAATTCGACGGATTTTTTGCTCTAATAAAGATTTGCCATCTAGCCGCCTTCGGAACCACCCAGAATAGTTTACCATCTGGAAGCTTTCGGTAGACTTTTCTGCGTTTCAATTCGTATTCTTCAAAATACTTTTTACAAGTAATATCTTCTTTATTCTTTCGTAAAATCTCGTGAATTCTCGATATTTGTTCATCCTGGAGCTATGCTGCTACAATCCAATCGCCCTCAGTTAGGTCAATATTGTTCAGGTCAGGCATACGGTCACCGGATCGATATTTAATCTCAAATGTGTACTCCTGTACTCCTAGCCACCATCTGGCGACTCGGGGTATTAAATCTATCTTGGAAAATGTTGTACGTAATGCATTACAATCGTAACCACGGTAAATTGGATCCCCAGGAGAAATGTCCGAAAATGCCCCAGCGCTGAAACTACTGCTATCGTTTCCAGTTCATATGAATGATACTGTCTTTGATCCATTGTCGTCTGTCGACTTTAATAAACGACGGGATGGGTTTTGTTATCTTTTATTTGGAGGAGTATAGCTTCAAAACCTAGTGAGCTAGCGTCAGTGTGCAAATCTATCAACAGATTAGGGTCAAATATAGTTTAGTTTGGTCTAAGTATTAATTTTTTTTTAAAAGTTGTAAATGCGTTTTGTTGCTCGTCATGCCATTGCCAAGGTACTACCCAGCTAAACCTAAAAACTGGCGAACTTGTTTATGGTCGTCGGACGTTCCATTCTGGAGACAGCATTGATTTTATCCTGACATGGACGAACTCCATCCGCTGATATCTCTCTAACAAGGTACACAATATCGATTTGATAAAAGGAACACTTTTTAAGCTTAAGGGTAAGCTGGTGCTTTCTTGAGGCTTCTAGTACTAAGCACAAGTTTTCCAGCCCCTGCTCTACGATCTCTGATGGGATTATGATATCGTCAATGCATGGAAATGCTTAAGTTGCCCAATACGTGGTTCATTAGACATTGGAAGACAGCTGACGAATTAGTCAACCCAAATGGCATTCGCAGAAACTCATAGTGCGAATCCGGGGTCACAAAGGCTGTTTTTGCCATGGAATTCTCATTTATTGGTACCTGGTAAAAACCCGACGCCAAATGTAAGGCCGTAAAATATTTATTACCTGCCAATTTATCGATTTGTTCTTCAATTTGGGGCAAAGGGCACTTATCTTTTATAGTAACGGCATTAAGTCACGAAAGTCTTTACACATACGCATGTCACCTGCCTTTTTCTTTATTAATAGGACCGGGTTCCCTAATAATGTTATTATGCAATAATTCGTCTATCATTTTTTCCAAAATAGCTTTTTCTGAGAGAGACAAGCGATAAGGGTTGTAAACAGTCTTTTTAATTTTTGTCGCGCACTTTCCTCTTCTGAGGTAGAACGATCGCGTCTTCTTTGTCTTTTACTACGCTTTTCGGGTCTTCGGGGCGAACGCGATCCACTGAAGGACGATGCCGATAATTCACTTCGCTTTTTTCCGCGTTTGCGATGGTCTTTTCTCTGACGCTCACTCCACGGTTTCCTGTTCTAGATCCAGATCTAGATGGTGGCATAATCGACTCTAATATTCGATATTAGAATGATAACACTGACTTTTGGACCAACGCGGCGGCGGCGATAGGTAATCCCACTTCTGATTTGTAGAAATCGCAAAAACACGACGCTTTTCCAAATAAAACAAAAATAGCTTTTTGTATCAGACGACTTTATTGTTCGACAATTCGAGCAAGATTACTCTTCCTTTGTTCCTTTTCCCTTTTTACATCCAAATCCAACCAAAAACCCTCAAATTTCTTTACCAAAATTGCCTGCCATAAAAGCCCAGTAAAAGGGTTTTAGGTTTTACAGCAGAAAAAAGTGCGGGAACCGAATATTCTTATCTCACGAATAATGCGCCAAATCTCATCTTTCAACTCCTTAATTGTTCGGGGATTGTTCACATGCGCTTTACTTTTGATGTGATATCACCCCACAAAAAAAAAGTCTAGTGACGTTAGATCGCAAGATCTATGCGGCCAATTAACATCCCCATTTCTTGAAAGAAGTTTACCTTCGAACCGTGTTTGCAATAAGTCAATGGTTTCTCTTGCTGTGTGACATGTTGCGCCGTCTTGATGGAAAAGTAAAGCAATCAAAAAATAATTCCCAAACAATTCAAGAGTTGAAAGATGAGATTCGGCGCATTATTCGTGAGATACCACCGGAAATGTGCACAGATGTGATCGAAAATCTTGGGAAAAGAATTGTGCGCTGTGAGAGAAGTCGAGGTGGCCATTTGTTGGATATTGTGTTTCACGTACAATTGTAAATGATCATGTTACTTATTGCTATAAAGTATTAAATGTTTCCTAGTTTGCTTTCCGTTTGAATTGAAAAAAAACATCCGGAAACTCTTATTGGAACACCCTTTATTTTAGCAGTAATAATGGCGGACGAGAATATACCAGATATGGGACGAAAAAAATTGCGGAAAATATTACAAGAGTTAAACTTTTGTTGGAAGAAGCTGATCAGAAAATCAATTTTGATTGACAAAGAATAAATAATCTGTTGGAGTAGACAAATATCTAAGAGATATTAGAAAGTACAGAACAGATCAACAAAGAAACGTTTATTACTTGGACGGAACGTGGGTTAACGAAGCACACAGAGTAAATAAATTCTGGCACGATAAAAATGTCCTCTATTCTCGCCAGGCATTTGTGGATGGCCTTTTGACTGGCTTAAAAATGAATTCCGGTAAAACCCGCAGTGCTTTTCAAATAAAGGTTTTCTTGAATTTGAATAAAAATCAACCAACGATTACTGTAAAGAAATGTCCGCCGATGTTTTTGATTCCTACTTCACTGAAATGATAACATCAATTCCTAAAGGTTTCGTCATTGTCATGGATAACGTCAGCAATCATTCCAGACTAACAAAAAAATTACCCTCGTGTTCTTGGCGGAAGAAGACATTCTAAATTGGCTAAATGAAAAAAGGATACCTTATGAAAATGATATTTAAAAAAATGAGGCTCTGTAAATAGCTGAAGGAAAAAAATCACAGTTCAAAAGAGATGTTGTTGATGAAATGGCTAAGGAACGGAATATAATATGCTTCACTTGCCATTGCAAATTAATACAGGCTCCTGAAAGGCTTTATAGCAAGAAATAACACCTTCTTCCACCTTCAATTACAAGATGTAGGTACGAGAACTGAACCTCGCTAACACATGTAACTGCAGAAAACTGGAGTAGGTAATGCTTTAAACCATGTAATAAAGGATGGGAAATATTTTTCAATACAGGGTTTTTCTAGTTAGAAGCTGTATTTCAGATGTTTTATCATTAGATTTGTAAGAGCCAAATTGCCGCATGGAAAGACGTAGGAGAGGACATTTCGCGTTATTCAAGTCTCACTAGAGATTGCATTTTTTGCCAGACAGTGTCTTGCAAATCTGACTCTGTTGACCAAAGAAACTTATCGATACTCACCTCTTCATTCAGACCTCAGAAATTATGTCCAGTTTGCTAGAACTATGGCACATCCTTGCAACAGAACCGGACTGGTGGTTTATAAGATACAACTATTGTAATTTGCTCTTCTTCACCTATACATTTAAAAAAACTTCAACACAATTAAGGTGATCTTTGATGAATAATTTAATCATATCCCTCTGAGTAGGTATACATCTCAACTCAAAACAAGCAATGCTACCTTTGCTGCTACTTCATTGGTCAGTTTAGAAAGAACTAAAAATATATTATTCAAAAGACGCTACTCCGTATCTGAATTTTTTTGAGGTAGGCTCACAGTAATTTGTTATATTATTAGTTATTATCTTTGTTTAGGTGATTCTATTTGAACGTTCTTGACGTTCTGGTGTATTTACTTTAGAATCTTAGTATTTTATTTTAAATAATCCTGCTGTAATCTATTTTATAGAGGAAGGCAAATATTGTTATGGAATTTCCTAATAGAACATATAAAGATAAAATATTTTTGGAAATTGTATTGGACTCTATTTATTTATTTTCAACTTGAGCTTGCTTTATGCGTAGCACCAGAACCTCGCCCATTGGAGGGTCTTCAATCACCATATCAAAGTCTTGATGCAAACATTTGGCGTCTCCCTGTTCTATATTTTTCAAATGTATTGACTAACCGCCGTCGTAAAAAATACTCTTACTCATTTATTTTTTTTAATTTGTGACAGTATTTTAATAAAATACTCTGCTAGATTTATTTCCATTTTGAATAATATCCCTGTTAATTTTTAATCAAAAACAACAAACAAATCTTGTTCAAAATCTAACCAAACAAATAAATGTTATCACAATCCGCCTAAAACACGTGCACATCATTTACAAATACACAATAAAATGAGGCATATTTGCCTTTTAAATATCTTATGTTTATTATATGTCACGCCTCGTAGGTATAATGAATGATTATATTTTGCATGGTAGTTGCGTATGACTGACTCACAGGCACGCTGCGGCTGCGCTGAATTTTTAATTAAATTGTTTTAAAGCCCCCACTAATATGTATATCCTAATCAGTTCCATTGAATCATTTGTGCCGTTAATTAAACCCGAGAGACCTTCTCGCATATTGTTTCTTCCGTTATTTACCATTTAGTATTAACAATATGACCGGTTTCGATGTTACAGGTGTCAGCAAAAGCCAGTGCGTCTGCGAGCCTGAGGAATTTGAATCGGAATCGACTCAGTCACAACTTGTGGGTAAGTACGATTTTAATATATTCACTTTTATGAAATCTAATAAATATTGGTAGTAAGTTTAATTAACACTATCTTCTTTGCCCCGAATAAACACCCATTCAAAAAGTTTTTGTGGCTATAGTATTTTGTATCTAACAAATTTCAGTTTTTTGATAGTATGTTTTTTGCTGCCGTTATTTGCAGCAGAAAACAAGCGGCAAATTCTTGGTATAATGGCATATCAGGTTTTCGAAGTTGTTTCGCTAAGTTGATGGATATGTTTGATGATATCTCTGTGAAATGCAATTTATGCTAGAAAAATAGAAAAGTTAAGGAAGAAAAAAAAATGATATAATAAGTATCTATACATATACCTAGGTACATTTAAAACTTCGTATTAAGCTTTCGGCATAATTATTTATTGAAATAGAAGAAAAACTTTCATAATACGGTATCAAACAAAATTTGACTCTAGTTTGCATTCAAAATTTAAATTATCGCTCAACTGATACTCGTAAGCTTTCGCACACTGTACTAATATTCATAAAATAATTAGTCGGCACCTATGTTTGCTTTGTTTATGGCTCTATATTCAAATTTATATGAAAGTATCAATTTTAATTTTGCAGTAGGCACCTACACTTTATTTTTTCACAAGATAGATTTTGACATTGAAAACTTTGAAGTATAAACAATAAAGCTTGACCCTGATTGGTCGCAAAATGAGGTGTTTCTGCAGGTTGACATCAGGTTTACAATAGCGACCAATAAGCGGCATTGTTTAAGTTTCAAAGTTGACAATGCCAAAAATCTATCTTGGAAAAAAATAAACCATAGGTACATATTCAATTTTCATTACACCTACCTACTCCCTACTCTAAAACAAATATAAGATCTACTTTGTAATGACAACCATTCTATATTTCAATATTTTAAATAGACGACATAATGACAAAAACACGACTGTAAACTATATAAATAAATAGAGTATATAAAGTAATCACAGGGTTACCACCCACTCAGGCGCGGATCCAGGGAGAGGCCATGGCCCCCCCTAGATAAGAGAAAATAATTTTAAAAATCAACATTAAATCAACAATTTTTTCCGGGTTTACCAGGGCCCGTATATAACAAAATTTTATTTCATGGCGTCATTTTATCACGACCTTCTAGCCTATTCTATTTGTATGTACAGGGTGTTTCAAATTCGAGCCACATCATTGGGATCTCGGAAACGGTGAGAGATACAGAGTTGGTTAAATTGGGGCAAAGTTGCGTAATTTCATGTTTAACAGAATGCTGCTTTGATATTTAGGATATTCCGGAGATATCCGGAAAAAATCGAAATTATGCAAAAATGTTTTTATTTTTTCTTGACTTTATTTGAAGAAATATTTAAAAGAAAATGTATTTTTATCATAGCTACTCCTAAAATCTGAAATAAAAAATCCAGGGTGATTTTTTTTTTTTGAAATAACACTCCAAACAAAGTCAGGAAAAAATTAAAACAATTTTGCAAAATTTTGGTTTTTTTCCGGATATCTCCGGAAATATCCGGAATATCCTGAGTATCAAAGCGGCATTTTATTAAGCATCAAATTACGCAACTTTGCCCCAATTTAACTAACTCTGTATGCCTCACCGTTTCGGAGATCCCAATGATGTGGCTCGAATTTGAAACACCTTGTACAGGGTGTCTGGTTATAATTTGACACCCCACCTGCAGCCTTTACCTTTACAGGTAGATGATAGGTGTGAACACAAAAGTTCTGCAGTTTTTAACTAAATTTTCAGAATCCATCGTAAAAAACAAAATTTTATTGTAAGAAATTTGAAATTTTGCGTACTTTCAACTTTTTTAAATGAAATGCCCTATATTTGCTTCTAATATATAGTTTGTCTATATTTGTTTGAGCCTCCTTCAACATATTTGGCTCTAAAAATTCAAAAATTGGAAAAATACTATCCTACTGTCGATTTTGTGAATCATTCTGATGAAAGCTTCAGGTAAAATTTGAGGCACTTGGTTTCTCTGATAGTATTTTTAAAATTTTTGAAGCCAAATATGGTGGAGACGGCTCAACTAAATATAGAGAAACTATATATTTTTGGAATCGGAAAATTGTGCTCTTCAAGAATATAGAATCAAATATGGGGCATTCTATTTGAAAAAAGTTGAAAGACGCAAAATTTCAAATTTCTGACATTAATTTAGCGAAAACTGCTCCACTTTTGTGTTTAGACCTATCATCCACCTATAAGGTAGGGTGTCAAATTATAACCAGACACCTTGTACCTTCCAATATTTTGTATGCCCCCCCCCTCAATTTGGGTCTAGATCCGCGCCTGCACCCACTATAAAAATACCGATATAGCAAGCATGGCATCCTCCTCCTATAAGTACTGAATACTTGTGAATACTGATCAATGGGAAATCTATATATATAAAACACAGTTGTGTTGGTGTGTGAGCACTTATAACTCGAGAACGGCTGGACTGATTTTTATGATTTTTGCTTTCTTGGATTTGTCTTTGTCCCTAAAAACAAAATAAATCGAAAAAATCCAAACAACAAACAAACAAAATTATCTATTTCACTTATTTATGAAAAAAACTCACTAAGTCCGCATACGGCGCCATCTCTTATAACCGATAGGTACCAAGTTTACCGTCACATTTTCATTGCAAATCATGTGGATTTTATTGTCACACACTTTGCAAAAAAACAATTCGAGGAAAGCACTCTATTTTTAATTGTTCTTCACAGTAAAAATGTCCAAAAATAAATAGAATGACAATCTTTTAATTGTTTATTTTATTTTGTTGTTGGTTCGTTCATTCCGAAAGAGCGCAAACCGATGAACTATAACCAAAAACTGGAATGCGAACACATATTGACGAACGTGAAGCCTAGTGCCGCTGCTACGGAGGGGATACCTGTTTTTGTCGCACTCATTATGTTAAATGGGGGAAATTGCTTCCAACACGTATTCCAATTGATGAAACCTGTGAAGGTAAATATGACAAAACTTTCCAAAACCACATATGTCAGCGAGCAACAGAAAAAAACAACATTCCCCTTTGTGGCATCTGTCTTTCATGGCTACATTTTTTTGGCAGATATGGCAATGTGTGCGCATTCCAGTTTTTGACTATAGTTCATTGGCGCGAACTGGTCTCCCTGTCATTTTTTGACGCTTGACCATTGACGTTCTGCGGCTAAGTTCCGTTTCTCTTCTTAGGCATCCCTTGAAAGCCGTGTTCCGTGGCGACTGTTCGGAGTGCTCCGTCCGGCTGATGTCGAGTGGCAGAGAGCCAGGTTATGAGTCCGCCACAACCATTTTGTATACGGCGCCATATATGATAGGTACCTAGAACGAAGCCCGCCGTTGCGCGGTAATTTCATTGCAGATACAGTAGAACAGAATACTGCTAAGGAACTGGAGCTATTCCGCACAGAACTATTCCACTATTCCGATCAGATAAAGTGGTGCAGAAAGAGTAGATCAAATAGAATAGTGCAGATACGGTAGAACAGATGGAGTATTGCAGTGCATGCAGTGCAGATAAAATGAAACAGGGCTGCGCTGGAGATTTTTTTTGTTTTCTTTACATTCTTTGAACATTCATGTGCCTGAGTTTATTTATTTGGTGGTACACTTTATAAGAATAATGCCCACAAGATGCCTAGAGAGGGATGATGTAAAATTTTAATTTTAGGTGACTTCTGATCCAGAGAGTAAAAATTAATTTTGAAAAAAACTTAATTTAATTCAGTTAATAGATACGTTAACACAACATTTAATAGGTATTTAATAATTCAGAGGAGGTACGAAGTTCGCTGGGTCAGCTAGTATTAGATAGGTATTAAAACAAAACGTGATAAGTAAATAAGATTGACCGGATGAACAGTGGCGTAGCCAGCCTCGCGGGGCTGAGGGGGCAAACATATAAGGGGGCGCATATAATTTTTTTCTTTTTTTTTTGAGGGGGGGGGGGTTACAAATGAATAGGATAATTTTGCGAATCTCTATATTGTTTGTTTGCTTTTGTGATATTGGCTTATTGGGGGAAAATATTAGAGATGAAAATCCCGCCGCAGGCGAAAAATTCAAGGGTGCCACGCCCAAAAAACATAAATTAAGCCTTAGAAAAATAATGTGTGGACATGCCGTTAAACACGGATAAGTTCAAAAAATCCTCCCGGACGTCTCCGGACGCCTTAAAAACTAGAACTAATCCGGACGGATGATAGGACAGCCCCACCGAAGCCCCTAGTTTAATAGAGAAATAAATAAATTGAAATTCATAATAATTGTTTTTCAATTTTGTTTTTCAGAAATTATAATGTACCATCGTCACCAAAAGTAACTGGGACAGCATCACATTAGCTCTTGTCCTATTATATGAATTTTATTGTCAAATATTTGTCAAACTATAATTTAAATGCATTGAAATGAATGACAGTAGAATTAGTCCAGGAGATTTTTATGCATTATTTGTGTCCCAGATACTTTTGGTGACGATGGTACCTAATAGAATAGAACAGAAACTTAAATGAAAATAAATAACTATCAGACAATGACGACTAACGATAAAGAATAAAGGGTAAAGAGGTCAATAAAATAAATAAGAAACAGCATAATTTTATAATTTCTTTTGCTTTTGTTTTTTAAGAGCGGTAGGGGCGCCATACATGCAAGGGCGAGGGGGCCGTCGCCCCCTGCCCCCTGATTAGAATATACATAAAATTATTAAAAATGTAAAACTATCAGATAAAAGCCTGCTATAACCAAATCTACTTTTGTATTGAATTTAGTGAAAATAGTAGGTCTATAAACCTGGCAGTCCCAAGGTGGAAAAAAACTTCGGGAACTATATGATAATTAGGTGCTTTTCAGGTGCTAATTAGGGCATCTAATTAAAAATTAGGTGCTGCTTTAATTTTTGAGAAAATTAAAAAAAACTAAGGGACTGCTAGGTTTATGAATGCTAGCAGTCCCCTATAGTAAAAAATATT